ATCGCAAAGCCTGCAAAATTCAACCGAAAATTCAATAGAAAAATCAATCGTGAACTGATCTTGCAAGACATGCCAAACCTCAAATCTATTGTTTTTTCTGTTTTCAATCGAAGATTGAAATGGTACAAAAATCAATCGACCAATTGATTTTTTCAATTGCGGAGCCTTTGGCTGTGGTGCCCTGATGGCTGCCATAATGCTTTCCTGGTACTGGTTTTCTTTCGCATACTCAGAGTGCTTACCCCCTTTTTTCCATGATCTTCTCTGCGATGCCTCTCAGGAAATTCTTGATTGCCAACATCACCATCATCTTACTCAACCCCCGAAAAACCACGCTCTTTGTCTTCTTCCCCTCTTTCTTGGGGTAGTACAGCTTGGCTCTCAGAATAGCGGGAGCCCATTCGGCCTCAGCATCGCTATCCACAATTTCCTCTTCGCTGAAGGTCGACTCTGCTTGAGTCTCATGGATATCACCGGGGCAGCCTTCGCCTTCTTCTTCTTTTTCTTCTTCTCGGATCCCGTTTCACTCTCGGTGTCAGAACCCTTCTCCGCCGGTGCCAAGCTCCTCGGATGCTTGAACTTGCGGTCCTTCCCTTTCTTGCACGTCCCTTTCTTCCAGAATGAACAAACTCCATCGTTCTTGGGACGCTCCCCGGCTGGGGAGTTGCTACGCCTGGGACCCTCTTCGAACTTCTTCTTCCATTCTGCAGCGTAAGCACTCCTTTGATGATAGCTGCGTTTGCAGTCGGAGCCCCTCGCGCGCTTCCCACGAAAGAAATGAAACTGGCATGGAACATTGTGGGAAAACCATGTCCGTGATTTAAAGACATCCATCAAGGTACCCATCTCCAGCGAACACACAATGGAAATTGTCCTCATAGGGGAGAACTATGAGAAGATTGACTATGTGGATAAAACTAGGAAGAAAGGGGATGGACCTGATCGGTGATTTTGAATTTCTGAGGGAAACCCAACGTGCAATGGTGGTGAAGTCGGGTAAGCCCAAAAGGAAGAAATGGCTCATGGACACCGGATGCACAACGTGATCGGGTCGAAGGTGGCGGATAAGCTATATAGGTCTCAGTCCGAGGATGAGTTCAGAGGCGATGAGCTTTATGACGGCGAACGGTATCACCGAAATTGCCTTTTGTGATGGAAGAATCTCCACCTTTTGTACCCATGTTCCTAAGCATTTGCCAGCCGATCAGTTTTTCCGGCCTGTGTCAATCACCCTCGAACAGTGGAAGGAGCATTGGGCTGAGTCCCGAGATGGTTTCAAAAGTGAAGATCTTCCTCGCACGTACCACTACACGACGATCGAGGAGTACGTCGAAATGAAGGGCATCATTCACTTGATGGGAATTTGGCGCAAACGCGCAGGGAAATTGGGCTCGTTCATCGACCCGAGAGTATCACACAAGCAATATTTCAACAACGAAGCAGGTGTTCAGACAAGCGGCTAAATGGATATTTCGAGCGTTTCGCTCTGATCGACCTGGCATGGGAGGACCCTTGCTACACTCATCTCTCACATAGGGCACGCCGATGGGGGGATTCTTCCTTCTGGGAACGCAAGGTTATTGGGAACGCAAGGTTAGAGTGGGCGAAGAGCTGATGCGCCACTCTTCTGCACCGACAACCGGGTTGGGCAGCGCCGATGTGTTTGTTCTGGGATACCAGGGCCGTTAATGGCATTTATTTCTTCACGTGAAGATAACCAACTTTTCGGGCATTCCCATTACAAACACCCTTGCCGAGATCTGGATGTTTACAGGGAAAGCTCTACCGTTTCACGGAGCGTTAGTCAGTACTCAGTGCTTCTTTTCTCACTAGGTTATGTCCATAGCCCGCCAGAATTTCGAATACTGCAGAACTGCAGGAAGTTTTGAGTGTCTCACGACATGAAATCCTGCAAGGTAAAACAATTGAGTCGGCAAACCGATGCGTTGCAAAGCGGTGGTCCCACAATCGAAATAGCTTCCACAATTTCAACGCCTCTGCGCAGATGCCTCAGAATGAGGCATACTGCGGGGTGAATAGAACAGGGGCCACCACAACATACAACCATCGTGCCATTTGGCTCAAGCTCATACGTTTGCTTAGGTCCCTTGACAGGACCAAAGCTTGCAAAGGAACAAAATAGCGAGCCCACGGATCGAGCGCTGCTTCGAGGATATTCGAGCCCCCGCGCTCTATCCGGGGGACAACACACCCAGTGTTGTCGGGGTAACAAAGAAACCGCTCGGTTTCTCATAAAGTATTCACAGCTCTGAAGTTGACTCTTGTCCGTCACAAGAGACATTATTGCCTCCGTGTGATTGATTCTCCCCCGCCCCCCCCAAGGTGCGCTTTTCTCCTAGCCGCTGAGCTGACCTCAAGCCAAAACTATTCAAGGGGCCCACATGAGGTAGCCCTACAATATGTTTTCCTGCGTGCCGACCAGAACCCTCCTGATTCAAGGTCTCACCTGCTGCCAGCTTGACATTGCCATAGAGATTTTAGTCTCAGGGGTTGCCATTCCAAATTTCAACAATCAGCTGCCGAGAAACCACGATTTTCCTACAGTTTCATCTAACAAACGGTTTGACCGGCTCGTTGAGGGTCCCTTCAAGGCAAGTGCCCCCCGATTATTCCTGGCCACCCGCCATGAAAACAAAACATCGTTTCCTATTGTCCAAACAGGGGTCCCACGGAAAGGACCGGAGAAGTCCGCATTGATTATGATTAATTCCAAAAAGAAGGGGCGGGGACCCTAGGACCGCAATTTCTTTGGATCTCTTGTCGACCTTGAGAGGGGAGGGGTATGAATATTAGCGAACCCGAAAATTTTCATAGTTTCTTTAAGAACTTCCAAGAACAAATCCACTGATCTCTCCCATTCCTTGGGGTTCCTGGGAGGTGTCTGAAATCCTTCGCTACGTCCCCGACTCACCTTCGGAATTCCGAGAGTTCCTGGGGAACATGGAGCTGCTGCACAAAGGGACGACCCAGGCGCGGATGTTCGTCCCCAGCGTCTGGGCAAAGTCGGTGTGTTTGGTTTGGAGGATAGCCTCGGTGGAAGTGTTTTGAAGGGAAACCAAAGCAGAACCCATTTTGGGGTTCGAACCCCAAACTACCATTCAGAAACGAATGGGCGGAGTGATCCAACTGCACGAACGCAAGTACCAGATCTCCTTTGGCAAGTACTGATCTCACTCTTGGGGGCAGCATCGACCTGACACAGCTTGAAGGCTTGGTTCTTTCAGTCGTTTGGGATCGTGCATTTCATATTTGTTTACGGCAAGGTTCGGGAGAAAAAGAACCTGTCAGTCAAAAGCGATGCATCCTTTCAGTCCACGCTACATCGAGCGTCTATTGACAACGGTCCATAGATCAGAGCTGGAGTTTTTGTTTTCTTGCATTCAACATGACAAGCCTCTTGTGTGGCGGCAGTTTGACGAGCAGAGGAGCTGTACCAAGTTGTTCAAGGACCCCGCAAAGGGGCCCCAATCCCTTCGGAGCTGATAAGGCCTGCTCCTAACGAGGCCTCAAAAGGATCCATTGCAGGATCCTTGGGGCATTCCACCATTCGGATCCATTCGGAGGTTCTTGACCATTCTTTGCCGGCATGGGAACCACGATTGGACCTTGCCACTGTAGAATGCAGCGCGTGCCATGTCAGGGGCGGATCTTGAGCCCACAAGAGCACCTTTCGTTCGGATGGTCAGCTTGAATACATGGTGAAACTCGGGTAGAAGCCGTGGCCAGTGGCAGGTCGCAAGCAAAGAGAAAGTCCCGGCCGGAGGTACTGGTAGGAGAAAGGGCCTGGTAGGGAGTGTAGGGATCGGTCTGCCCTGATGCCAACCGCAAAAGATGGCGGAAGCATCCAAAGTGAGGCACAAGTATGTGGATGGTAGGAGTCAGTGTGTCAGGCGGCAAGTGACAATGAGCTTGCAGAACTGCGTGTCAAAGGTCCCCCGGTTTATGTAAGGCGTATTTATAAGATTTGGCCACATTGTCCGGGCGGACGAAAAATTGTATGCATGCGCCTTGTCGGTTTGTCAACTTGGATGTCTCAACATGCTGACTCTCAGCCAATGTAGTAGCTTCTGGATTTCCGAAGGATCTCCACTTGCAGTCCTCCTCGGTCAGTAGAGTGACCAGTAGTCGGCCAGTGTTTGCTCGCTTCAGATGAATATATTGTATGCCGTGCTGTTGACTGTGCAGATCATGAGACGCACCTTTGACTCCCTTTTGGAGTCAGAGTTTCGCAATGTGCCGTCCAGAATTTGAGAAATGCTGGATGCTGCAAAAAAAGCACCCGAGGCCGCGGCCGATGTGTTACTTCAGCAACGCCAGCTTCTCGAAGCAACCACTAAATTCCATGAATCTAGACAATTTGAGTGACCTCACAAAGTGGAGGTTTCGCCCTCCGTGAGAAAGATTCCTTATTTGTGGTCCATGTCATATTTTTTGTTGTGAGTGTTCCCATGATTGATCTAGGTAAGTGGAAGCAAGCATATTGAAAGAGCCAGCATGATGGCTTGTCATGGGCTTGCGAGGGCGAGCTCGCAATGGCAATCTACTGTGCCTCAGAGAAGCATGTTGGAAGAAGATAATTGCTAGTGTTGGTGGCTGGGTTCAGCAGGTGCGCATCATACATTTGCCACTACCAACAAAATAACGGGCGACAGGGGATACTTATTTGTAGGTCTTGAAGTTGGGTGGAAGTTGTTGGCACAATTCCCCCACATTGGTTAAACCAATGCATCCCCTAAACCATCTGAAGCCCACAAGAAGGGAACTGTGCCACTTGTTCGCACACTGGTGTATTCATACATTCCGCTTTCCAGCACCAGCCATTCTTGTGAGTCTCCCGTCTTTAGAGGGTCTGCCTTGAACATCATCGCAGGCGAGGGTGAGAGCACGCAGCCGCCTGCAAAGCGTGCCCTCTTTGATTCGCACCTTGTTGCTTGTGTCTCTTCGCGGCTGGTTTGCTTCAAGCCATCCTTCTTCGGCAGGACATCTTCAACGCCACGCTGACTCGCTGTGCCCCCAGGGGGTGGCAACATCGCTGCTTTCTCCACAAAAAGGAGCAAGGAAGCTTCCACCAAACCCGACTTGTTTGATCCCAGTCGCTCAGCTCCGCGGTGCGCACTCACCACTTGCGATTACACATATCATAAAATGTTGCTGAGGATCCTCTATGTCAAGGTGCTTTTGTTCGGGTGGGTTAACGTTGAAGGGGACGTAGAGAACCCTGTTCTGATTGTGGAAAGATACTGCAAGCACTTACCGCTGAAGACTACAAGCCGCGTCGCACGAGTTCGGGTATGAGAAACTACAGTGTCTGAAATGATCAAGCTCATGCCTTGTAGCAAACTCCTTTTGGCCAGCGGCTTTTGGCGTCTTGACTTTGGAACGGCCACGCCTAGGCTCTTGGGAACAAAGAAGTGCGTGTCTAAGGCGAATATTGCAACGTTGAGGATTATCCTTGAGTTGTTTGTCGCTTTCCTCGGTTGGCCTTTGTCACAAAGTACAACTATGTTACTTTGGGTCAACACCAAGTCTCCAATGTGTCATGTTCGCGCAGCAAGGAAAAGCAGGCAAGCATGGTCTTTTGACAGTGTCCGCATGTGCATTTCGAGCCAGCTTCATGCTACACAGGACAAACAACTTGTTACTTGTTTCGTGGAAAGAATGCTTATCATCTGACGCTTTCTGCCCTGTGAATACGGCAATGGTCTTAAGAGTTAAACACAGCTTGCCTGTCTTCCTTGCATGCCGTTCAAGAACTGCACGAGCAAGGACAAGATACATTGGTTAATCTCTTCCCCCTATTAATAAATACGGCCCCCCCCCCCTATTATAAATAAATCCCCCCAAAAATGTATTTTTTTTTAATTGGGGTTTTTGGGGTTGGTTTCTTTTGCTTTTCCAACAATGTGAGGGTTCACGTAGGATTTGGATGAAATGGATTGAATTGTAAGGTCCGCGAGTAAGCGGTTCAATAAGGAAATTTGATGTATCATTATATTTGTTTACCAGTTTACTGGTTGTTTGTTTGCAGCCAGGCAGGTTAATTAGCCAGCATGTACGGGAGAGAGACAGTCGCAGCTAGAAGACAGCTTTTGGGGACATGTTTGGGAAAGCAACCTTTTGGGGAATTGAGGAACCCACCTGTTGAAAAGTGAGGCTGGAAGCTTGCCAAAAGTGCCCCCTAATAAGGATTCCAAGACGTTAGTATTGGTTTAGTATTGGCGCAATGGAAAATCAATTGTGTGGAGTAGAAATCTGGTCCCGGGCCCCGGATTTGCATTTATTATTAATTGGGGTCATTCATTAATTGGGGGAGCGGATTACTGATAGCTAACCAAGTATGAACCCGAATCGATCAAGTCTTGAAACACGGGCAGCAGACACAGTCCAAGCACCACTCCATTGTCAAGGGCCACTTCACCATCAGCACCTTTGTGCTGTTGGACTCATAATCGACATCACACATCTCCTTGTGCGACAGAATATAGCATGAGCCCTCAAGCCCAACACTACAGCGTGGGGTGGGTGTCTCGGGATTGGATTGTGTCACAAATTCGGAGCCTTTCAACCGGCTGATTTCTGTTTGATTGTTTGTTGCTCATATTGATACCAGTTGACGGGCCAATGTGTTTCACAACAATTGACGAATGCCCCACTTGTTTCTCCTTTCAGTGGCAGGCAAGCCTCCTTTGGAGATGATGCCCCCACCGTTGCCCCGCCCTTAGCTACAGTGTCAGGCTTGCAGCTTATGAGATTGTTTCCCATTGTAGTTGGGTGATAGTAGATAAGTATGCCATTTAGGTGTACTCTTGTTTGGTGCTGTTGCCAAGGACAGCTGAAGGGAGCCGTGCCCAAAGATCCCTCACCTCCCCGAAGTGTCCCCGGAGAATCTGCCCCACCCCAAACCTAGATTAGCGAAGACGCCATGGCTGTCGCCATGTCACGGCGTTTTTACAATTTGGAGGCACACCCAGATGGCAGTGTGGCACATGTCCTATGTCGATGACGGGCCAAAACGGCCTTCACCCTAGGGTAGATTCCAGAGATCAGGAGTTGTCAATGCTTGACATGACTACTGACAAGAATGTTGCCCAAATTGCTGTGTTTGGAGATGGACGGACGGCCTGCCCTCACAGTGTGTGTGTGTGTGTGTGTGTGTGTGCGCTCCATCATTTGGAGCTTGCAATCATCCCCTGGGCAGTGGACTTGGGGTAGGTGGGTGAGCCCTCGTCTTCTCTTTCGTGGGGGAAGACTACAACATGCAAAATGGAGTTGCGAGAGCCCTTCTCACCACGGAGGTAGAGGGGGTAGTCGTCCTTTCGTTTTTTGCAGCATTGCGATCGATGCGTACAGTGCAGAGCGCAAATTTTGGAGTCCAAGCTGGGGTGAGGGGCCAATTTGTGCAGAGTACTAGCCAGCAAATAGCACGTGCGCATCGGACTTGACTAACAGTTTAAGCTTCATAAGGCGCCAAGGCAGAAGAACCCGATGTGTTTGGTTGACATGGGGTATCCACTTCGTAACATGCGGACTCACGGCCAGCTTTCAAATTGCTTATGTGTGATGCCCTGGTGCCATTTTGCCACCTTGGCAAGGCTCTTTGTCTGTCTCAAGCCAAGAGTTTGTGCAAGGTGGTCATTTGTTGTGGTTCCACAGGTTGAGCCGATTGAGGGCAACGCGGGACAGCCTTTTGGGAGCCGATGGGCCTTGCAGCCTTACAGTCACGTGTGCTTTGTAGCCTGGGATGTTCGAGCTGCAGCCGCGGGGCTTCTGACTGCTCTGGTGACCCCACCCCAAGGGCTGATCTCACTGATCTTCTTGCCGCGATGCCGGGATGCCAAGATGGGATACGTGGCAGTTTGCCTGTCATTTCGCAGCACGGAGTATGTGTTTATGCTACCAACTTGTAGGGATGTGTATTCGATGATGACTTCACGCCAGACTCTTTGGCCGGTATCCCTGCCATCCGATCTGCAGGTATGAAGCGCATGTGGATGTCCTTTCAGGCATACTTGATCAAGTCATAGCGTGCAAGAGGCTGCAGCTTGAACGATGGCATGACGTGAAATACATGACGTTTATCCATAGTGTATTGTATTGCTGACTGGGCGGACTTAACAAGCTCTTCTGCAGCGCCCTCTAAATATATTATTCGAAAATCAAGAGTTGCCCCACGCAAGCGCTTTGTCAGTGAGTGGGAGGGCGGAGGGGTTGTTAAGCAGCTTTTGGCGTGAGCCTAAGCGAAGCAGCTTCTGGTGCAGATCTTGGTGATAGTAGCAAATATTCAAATGTGAACTTTGAAGGCTGAAGTGGAGAAGGGTTCCATGTGAATAGCAATTCGACATGCGTTAGTCGATCCTAAGAGAGAGTCGATCCTAAGAGAGAGGGATGTTTCGTACACGCAAGCACTGCTTCGTTCCTCGAAAGGGAATGGGCTTAATATTCCCCCCAACCAGGACGTGGATTTACGACAACGTAAGGGAATTCGGCGATGCAGGGAGAGAGCCCTGGGTTATTTGGCAAAGGCCCCAGGCAGAATCGAGGGCCTGAACAAGTTGGAATAGGGGTGTTGGGGGCAAATGCCACAGTTCACCATGGTTGTTCACAGCTTGAACCCAGGCATTCAGATGGCTCTCGTTTTGAGAGCCGCTGCCACGAGAACAATCTGCAACATGTGCACATGTTTGGGTTGGCATGGCGGACTTTCACATAAACACGTCGGAGCATGACTGTAGTTTCAGGGACCAACGTAGCTGTTGAAAGGGGCCTTGCTCTCTCCCCACACAGAATTTCAAGCCACGGGGATCGCAAGCAACACCTGACAGAACTTGCCAGAAGACACCCAAATGTTTCCTTTTGGCCATGTCCTTCTTTGACACCTCGAGTGCCTTGATAGGTTTAATATTGCGGTACGTGGGTTGACATTTTGCTGATGACAAGCATGAAGAAACAGGAACATATTGAGTGTGATAGAGTTTAGCTCTAATGCTGGCACATGCTTTGAAGCACCTGCACTTTGCAAAGAACTTGCTTGACTGGCCTGTTTTCCGTTTTGAAGGGCTGAATGAGTGGAACGGGCGGCTGTGCATTGGATGGAGGGATGGACGCGCCTTCTTGAATGTATTCATCGTTTGGGTGAGTTTGGTTTGTGGCGGCAGTTGTACCCTCACCTGAGCGTCGTTGATTTTGCCCGCAATTTTAAAGTAGTCGGGAGAGGGACATCAAACTTCAAAAATGTTACGCGCCACTCGCGGAAGGTTCGCGGAAGCTGTGAGGTTTTGTATGAACTGTTTTCAGTTTGTGTGTGTGTGTGTGTATTTAGAGTCCTTTCTTCGCCAATACTCGCAGAAGTACTGCTTGCAAAACATAAGCCGCGGAAGTCCGTGGAAGGTTTCTGTTTGGCCCGTAGCAAGAATGCCCAAGGGTCCGCAGGAGCTTGAATAATGTCCAAGCAAGTTGAAGGGGAACAGAAACCAACGCTCCCCTGCAACACAGGTGGGTTAAGCTTAAGGCTTGGCAGCAAGAGGCAGTATTGTTCTGCTTCAGGCCTAGCAGAATGGCGAGGCGCTTTCAGGTCACTGAACAAGTACCTCAACTGACATTTCTTGGCCATTCCCTTGATGCCGCTCATACCTCTCATAGCCTCAAGCTCCTCAAGTTGGTTGGAGCATAGCACGCTGCATGTGTACGCAGTCGCGCTGCACGTGTGCTTCTCTTTTGACGCATAGCGGTTAGCCTTGCAACTTCCTCATTGTGGGACATCGGGTTGACTCCCGAAAGCGACTAGCTAGACAGGGATGACTCATTTTGGTATCACAGACAGGGGTTATTTTCCACAATCATGTTCCACCCAGGCTGGATAAGGATGTGAGGAAGCGGCCCACCGCCTCGCAAGTCCTGGGCTTGCAGTGGCCGGAAGCCTCAGTCGCGTTGAGATGCCTGGTAGCCGACTCTTGGGTAGCGGACTTCTCCAACATTCAAACAGGCTGCTTTTTCTCAGGCAGTCGTGGCAGGCATGTGAGCTCTTCGCGTTCCAACGGGCATTTGCCAGCAGGTCATGTGCGTGCATGAGCATGGTTTTGAGAGGGAATAGTTCAACTACATTGGTGGAGCTAATTCACTGCAGCAAATGTGTTGGTTTCGGATATTGGTCCGCAGTTTTTGGCAGTTGGACATGTGGATGTAGCATGGGCATTGGCCTTTTTCGGTCGCCTGTGCTGACCCAAATTCCTTGGATGTGCAGCTCGCTTGCGCAGCAATGTACCGCTTGTGAGGCTGCTCACTCATCCCTTGGTTTAGTTTCCCTCCTTTTCCAGTCAAGAACAGTTCAGCGCAGTCCTTTAGCACGCACCTGTCCCACGTACAGCACAGTCACGGAACATGTGGCAAGCAAAAAGGGTCAAGCACAAACGACATGGTTGTGCGACAGTCACCCAACACACGCTAGACGCATTGTTGAACATGAAGCTGGTTCTGGATTCTTCTTATTGTGGTTGTGGCTTCGATCGTCATGCTTGTCATTGCTCTGGTGCGGCCTGTCTTGGTGGTTGCCATGGAAGCCACGAAAGGCTAAGCTGATCCAGCCCCTTCTATGATGGAACGCCGGTTTCTCCAAGGTTTGAAGGAGCTTTGAGCCCGAACTCTCGGAAGATGAGGTGTGGCCCGGGGGAGAGCAGGTGCTCGCTGAGAGTGTGTTTTTTCCGAGCCAACAAAGAACCTGGACAATCCACTCAGACATCCATGTGTTGGTTGTGGTTGTTGCAAAAACATGGAAGGACACCCTGCAATTCCGCTGGTGAGAACGCAACTGGTATTGGCGGATGGGGAATGTTGGGGACACAGTGCTTTCTTGTGGAGCTTGACGTGAGGCGATGAGAGGTCAAATGCCAGAATATCGTTTGCCGAGGTGTGTTGACCTGGTGATTGGGAGAGAGCCACTTGCCTGTCTTGAACTGTCCTAAAGTGACAGGTGTGTTGTTGCATGTGGGGCTCTCCTGGAATTGATGTTGCCACAACAGTTTGGCCCTTACACAGGGGCTTCTTCTACTTGTAGTAAGTGTTGTACTGTGAATAGGAAAGCCGTCGTTGCTGTTTGGCACTACACTATGATAACTGATAACCTTCAATACATTGCACGTACTAAAATCGGAATGCCAGGATTTACTCATGCTGCCAAGCCCTCAATTAGCCAGTGTTGCTTGTAAGACTTAGGCTGCCAGTAGTCAGATCGCTAACCTCTCTAGATCCCGCTTAGATCCTTTGGGTGTTTGTTGCAAACCTGCGACTGCCTTTCTTGTTGATTGAGGGGCCTTTCAAGGATGCTTCCGAATACAGATTTCGGAGCTGGCCTGTAATGGAAATGGTACCAGCTGTCAGCCTGGCAGACCGACTCGGATCACTGAGAAATGACGTTTTGTGAGTGTTCTGTGGACTGGGTCCCTTGCGCTTGGAGGGCTCAACATGCAAGGGCTTTCTCACTTCAAGCCGGTCCGAGCGTTTGGATCAAACAATGGCTGTCTCTCAAAGGCCATGCATTCACTATTTTAGGAATCACCCATTGACACCAGCCCAAAAGGATATTACCGACACTTAGTTTGCATTCATTCTTGCGGTGACAGCTCTTCACACTAGCAGATATTTGAGCCATTGCAACCCCAACCCCAGAAGCTCCACCGCAAGACGTGTCAACGTGTGTAAGAAATGGCTGGTTTTGGAATTCTAGAGCCAACACCCGTACAAGCGCTCGCAAAGCAAGCCCACTAGTGAAGTCACCATGGGCTTTGCCGCATGATGCGGCTGTTGGCATGTGCGCTCCTTGGTGTGGCCGCTGAACTTGATCTTGCGGCAGATCAAGCGCTGAAGCCTTGCTGAATCCAAGCTCACTGTCCAGCGGACTTGTAGTCTTTCCCATTAAGCATGGCGCCCGCCGGAACTGGTCCAATACAGAAACAGCATTATTGGGGCTGTTGTCATTGTAGTGTTAGGGACATATCAGATGGGTCCGACTTTTTGGGTCCATAGCTGGTCCCTTTGAATCATGCTGACCTGAGCTGCCTTTGATTCCGCTGTTTCGCATGGGATGAGCAGCCAAGTAGATCTTGCAACTTCGCACATGCCATTCGCCATCCTGCGTCCGGGCGAAGGCTTGTGATTGATTGGTGTTAGTGTTGTTCATTGTTTTACCGATGTCATGCCCAGCTGCCCCGGCATGTTGACAGGCAATGCCCGGGTCTTTGTCACGACCCCTGGGCTCGACACGTATCATTGATATTGTTCCGTCCCTGCTGCCCCTTGCACGATCTGGCTACTGTGACATTTGTATAGAAGTGTGCTAGGCTATCTTAATGATAGGCAAACGCCTATTGGATAGGCAAACGCAAGCAAAACTGAGCTCCTTCAAGATCTCTGGAACTCAGACCGCTTTTCCAACATTGAAAATAACCAACGTGTCATAAGGAAGAAACACATATTCTGTGTGTTTGTGGTGTGTTTCCTCTCCGTGTTTCCTGATCCCTGTGTCTGAGTGTGGTGTGTGTGTATGGCCGCGACTCCGACCGGAAAAGCTTTCGCGCCATATTTCTGTTTGCCGAATCCCCAGGCAGGAAACTAACACACACAAAGTCTCCCCAGGACCGAGGAGCTGAAAGCCCTGGTGGGCCAAGAGCAGCACTGGCCGCGGGGCGAGGAGATACCGAGCCCGAATGACCGTACTTGGCAAGTCTGGGACACGTGCCACGCAGCTGCAATTGCCGGAGATCAGGGACGTCCTTAAGGCAAATGAACAGGTAGCAGCGGTACCTCGCAAGTTCCATGCTTGTTGAGGGTAAACCGTTCTTGAGCCAGAAAAGCGTACTGTTGAAAGAAATGTGTCCAGCCTCGCTGCTGACCACCGGGAGTTGCGGTATGTTTCCTGACAATGGTCAGCTGCCATGTCCTATCCGATTTGTTCTGGCCCTGTTGGCCCCCGCACATTTCCAAGGGCCCGCAAGCTAGGATGAGCGGGACCTACTATTCAACATACTTATAACAATGCAGTGAATGGCAGGCCCAGAGTATTGCCAGCGAGGATTACAAACGTTTGCGCGTGTGCGGTTTCAAGCTCTCTTTTTTTATAATATTCCGAATCAAATTGTTGTTTCGCTTGATCAATCCTTTTACTTGACACGACACCTTCATTTCAAACGCGTGATTCAGGCATGGCTGCGCTATCATATGACTTACTGAGAGACAATGCAGTTGATTGTAATATGAGCATTGATGCATTGTCAAAATGTCTACGAACATTTCGGTGACTTTGTCAGGTGAGTTACAAGTGACCATTCTCCCAAAAGCCAGGCCGACCGCACCATGTTCAGGACACAACTGCGCTAACACGCCCTCGCCTTGTGATACCAAGAAGCAGCGGAAGGATCCCTGAGACTCCGAACTGGTTCTACTCGCGCCACTTGCGGCTCAGGTAGGGATCCAGGCTTCACCGAACAGCTGCGGAAGAATCAGAGCCCTGGCTGCCTTTCCCAAAGCGAGGCTTCGGCCCCACGTGTGCAAAGGGAACAAATCATTTCAGTATCAAAAACCCTTCGCAACATTGCAGACTCTGAGTTTACCGCCATAGGGACCCTCTTTTATGCTGACGCATTTGACCACAAGCTGCTCCTGGTTGCAAGCTTTTGTTTAAGAATGTTCAATAGCTTAGTTTGTATTGGCCAGTGCGGGCACGGACATCTGCACGAGCCCCCTCCGACTCTATGTTCTAGGCTGACGCGGCCATGTTGGCTTCTTCGTGGGTGTGGCTATTTTGTGTTTGTCTCCAAATGCAAGAAACCCCGGAAAGGAGTGAGGGGGTTCCTTTCGGCATTTCCTCTATCTTAAAAGGACACACCCATTGTTACATAGTCCCACATTTTGCTATCAGACTGTATGCTTGGCGACGCATTTGTCAAGTGCTCCAAAAGGCACATCATAGCAACTTGGTTCAAGTATTTTCACAGTCAAGCTTGAACCTGGACCAATAAGTAGTCCGCGAGATTGATATTTACGAGGTGTTTTATGGGTCCTACTGTGTTGCAAGCACAGAAGAACTGCAAAGCGTCATGTTCTTTCTTCGGTGCACTCAGGGATGGCCACATCGGGGTCGTTACCAGTTGATCTCAGGACACGCGTGCAGGTGCGGGCGGTGCATGTTGAGGTCATTGAGTGGCCTCTTGGACCTGCAAGAAGACAATTACAGCTGGATGGAGCTACCCGCCAATCAAGCTGCACCTGCTACAGTTATACCACAGCAGCAACAACGGTCGTTTTAGGCAACACGATTGCCCCACATCAATATGTCAGGGTGGACGCAAACGGGGGTTGCTTTCCATTGACGAGATCTTGAACCATCATCATCGGCAAATGCGGGACTCTTGGAGTCACCCAGTATTCAAAATTCGTAGGTTTGCTTCAAAAGCAACAAACGGAAGCTGGGATCTCACACAGGCTCCATGTGATGAACAGCCCCCACACATGACGTCGATGGAAAGGCAAAGCAATACTGTTTAGGACTCGCCACAGGCTGGTTCGGCATCACCGCGACCATCCGCGGCGAGCGCAGTTCGTGGAAACTTGTCATGACCAGTAGTGCATGGCCGCAGACAGACTCAAGATCAAGCGCACACGTGTTGAGGGCTTGCACTCTTTCAAGCTCAAACGGGTAGTGGCAGTTTTTTTGATGATGCTGTTTGGGGAACCAGACTTTATTTCTCATTTGGCCGGTGTGCTGTTGGAGTTTGTTGCCCTCACAAGACGTCAAGCAAGCATCTTCGAAGACTTGCCACAACTTGCTGAACACATCGTTTTGTGACCTGTCAGCTTTTGCTGACAATTTGAATGTGGCATGGAGATCACCCAATCTGTTTTTGGTACTACAATGGAACCTGGTGCGCCCGGACATCGGGTTGGGGATGTGGTGCAATGATGTTGATTCACGAAGGCTGCGGTGGATGCCTTGACCTGCGTTGACCAAAGCGTAAAGCACAAGATGTCCTTCAAACCCACAGTGTGTCCGTGGCCTGTAGTCTCGCCTGGATACTTTCAAGCCACTTGGGTACGGCAAGTCATGATAGCGCGGTTGGTGCAAGTCGTAAGTTCTCTAAACTGCAACCATCCCTGGAAGTATGCGATAGGCCCGTCTCAAAAGATAGCAGCTTTTAACGATGGCTTGTGTGCATTGTTTTTTACAGATTGACTTGGCGCTGTGGCTGGCATTTGAAGGAGAGCATCGGGCATCGACTACTTCAGCTAGGAGTGGTGCCCAACATCTACCAGTGGAGCGAGCTCTTGAATGAATCTCGGATATGTGCTTCCTTTAGGTTTGGTGGAGGGGTGTTGGATTTAGTGACATAATTGGTTTATTGCCCCAGCTACGCAACACATATGCCCGCATTTGTCACATGCCGAAGCGCGGACTCCAAGCAACTACAGCAACAGCATGTAGGTGTATAGTTTGTTTCTGTGTATGGTCAACTATGGCGGCTTGGCGTCACTTATGCACCAGGTTATTCTATGGTATGTTTTCAGATGTTGCCTTCGTTTGTGTACCTATCACCTTTGTCCACATGCTGCTTCGTGCCCACCCAATTTGAGTTTTGCTTGTTGCTCATTCTCCAGAGCGGCCGAT